GCCGTCACCACGCGCCCGCCAGGACTGAGATAAGCCCGCTACATTACTGTACAATCTTTACTTCGAATATCTTAAGACGCTTAAATCTTAGTCTACCCTCTTAACTTGTATTCTTGTTTAGTTATAGAACAAATATGTACTTTTAATATTCCACGAGAAACGTAAACAATTTAAGCGTACCATTTTACGAATTATTAGGTTATGTTATACAAATAAAGGATATGTAAGGGTGTACAAATAAGGTATGTAAGGTGGGTGGTAAGAAAGGCCACTATACATTTATTATTAAATAATTATTACAATAATTTATTGAATATTCTCGACGTTATCTTCTCATAGCGCGACGACTGTTATCATAAATGAACAAATAACATGAATAGACATTAATTGATGGATTGACTTGTGTGTACATAGATCTACATTATACATACGTAATGAGCAGTGGATATGCACTTAATATTATTCAACCTAGTTTTTTGTCACCATAAAGTTCGTTCAAATATGTACGTTGATTTTGTTATAACAGACTAATTTAAATGCGAAAGTTTAAATGAAATGATCTGTGATCTGAATGTGTTTATAATCTAGGCATAAGCTACTTAGTAAGATTATTTTAAAATTGCGCGTGGACATAATTGCTGGAAAAAGCTAGTATGTCTAAAAAAAATATTCAATAACTTTGCAAGTGTATGTTCATTGTTTATTAATTTTAACGTAAACGAAAAGAAACATCCCTAAGATTCACTTTTACCGTCATCTTCAATGATCAATTGAAATTAAGATAATTTTTCGTTCAGAATTAACAAGAATTATAAGTTCGGAACAAGTTTTTGCTGGAAGTTATTATTTCTAACTGGATATGTGTAAAACTCAAAAGCGTTTCGCACTGCTTGTCTTGTCATACGATATCTATATTTGTAACGATTGCTTTCTTGCTCGTTTACTTTTAGTAGACAGCTTTGCAACTAAATAAGTATTAAGTATCTTGTTTATACTTTTACTAGCTGTTCCCGTGCGGCTTCAGCCGCATGAAATTATAAAAAACTTTATTTTATTGTTTACAGTTGTCAAATTCACAATTGTCATTCAAATGTCAAAATTACCATAACTAAAATAAACTTCTTTCTTTTACCTTAATGTTGGCAGCTCGTAGTTTATGGTCCCTTTCCGACATGGAGTTTTTTTTCAATTTAATTACCCCCTAAGTTTATTAGCGTGAAAAAATATAGCTTAAAGCATGTCGTAAGTGTAGGGTTTCATGTGAAAGTAAGTATTATTCAAAAATGTGCTGTGATTGCTGACATCCTACGCCACAAAGTAGTGTGTGTTTACGCTTTATTATTTTAGTATACAGTATAGATAGTATATAAGTACAGGTAGCATAGATTAATTCAAAATGTTTACTTTGTTTATTCTCAGTCTTTATCAATGTTTGATTTCAGTTACAAAAGTATCAGTCATCATTCCGACTATTTTTTTTCTCTATTCATTTAGTGATGATATTAAATTTGTGAGAAATAAGTTTCTACTAGATAACCATTTAAGATTAAACAAAAAAAAAATAGGGGAAATAAAAAAATCATCTGACAGATTGTTTAGTCTCGTTCCAAGATTTAAGACTGAGCCTCAAGTAATATCTCGAAAAACGAAACGCCGGGATGAGATGGCCTGAGGCGTAATTCAATTATCTTTTTTGTTTAATCTTCCTCGCCGAGATACCTGGAGAAATAATGGGCTATATTAAAGCAGGTATTTTAAATTGTAACATTTCTTTATAATTTTAGTCTGAATGACAGGAGGGTCAGGTTTATAAAGAGAACAAGTACAATATAGGATAATAAGCAAAGAACAGGTACAGTTGCGGCAATTCACAGTGTCCTAGTTCAGGAAAAATTACCGTGTTCATTGCAACGAGACGAACTCATCTTCCTACAAATTGGATAGCAGTGAGTGGTGTAAGCGAAGGGATAATAATTAAAAGAAACAAGCAGTGTATCAGCCAACTTATTCGTACAGATACATTTATAAGCTGCGATGTAATCTTTGTTCCGCGTTTATTTTCTAAATGGTCAAACGATTGTAGCTTAAGATGATGTATTTGAGTTGCTGATAACGAAAATCGTTTAAAAAAAAACTGTCTGTCTGTCTGTCTGTTTGTAATCTTCAAAACGGCTCGACCCGTTTCGACCGGACTTTTACAAAAGGGTAGCTGACATATTACAGGCTACTTTTTTTTCTTAATATTGCGTGGATGAAGTCGCGCGCAACACCTAGTATGTGATATAATTCGAAAATTCTTATAAAAGAGATGTTAGTAACGTATTTTCCTTAAAGATAAAATACAGAGATAAATAAATATTGTTTTTACAAGTGGCATCGGACCGCGAGAAGGTTACACCCGATCCGCAGAGCCTTTGTGCTTCAAAGGCCTACAAAGGTCAGCCACCGCTTGTAAAGATATAAGAATTTAGTACGAGTGGACGTTTTTACTCTATGATGCAAATAAAAAAATGTTTACTCTTTGATCGAGATAAAAACAAAACAAGATTATCCGGTTAATTACTTTTTTAATGAGCAGCAATAGTCATCGGTACACCAGAAATATTGGTATCGGTGAGAAGGCTTTTGTACTGAGCTTTGTATCGAACGTTGGCTATACATCGGCTGTCGGTCGCGACACGTTTAG